ATTCTGGAAAGAGGAAGAGAAAGACAATTGACACTAACAATAATGACGATTATTTATTCGATAATGCTGATAAAATCAACAACTAATTAGTTTACAAACAGAATCGGATATTTTGGAAAAAATGACAGCAGGAGAAATGATTATTTCCAAAAAAATGTGTGATTTGGAGTTGTTTTTCCCAAGCTTGTTGGAACGAATTAAGTAAAAAGAAATTTTCAAAATACAAACTATGAATGGTAAAGAATAATGAGAAGAGCAAGCATAGTATTATATAAACAAATTCTAAATTTAAATATATGCAACAACAAATCCAAAAGAAAAGCTGTAAATTGATGAATAATTTCAAATGAAATTATTTTATGGAAATTTATATAATTTAATTTATACTTGTGAAAATAAAATGGAATAGAGTGAATATTAATGTGTTTTGTATTATATGCCTAAGAGACCGTATTCCATTTTCTTATATTTATTGGAAGAGCCTGCATTAAAAAACGTAGTGTAAATTAGATCAGGCTAGAAAATTTAAATAAAATATTTCCATATAGCCTTTGACAGTCAAAATACATATTATTTTGTGAGGAGTCAATAGTTTTATCCATGAGATAAAAGTGGCATTGAATTCATTTATTTCAATTTTCAAACTGAAGTTTGATCTGTATGATATGAATCATTAGAGAGCTCGAGTAAAAGATCTACTGCAAATGCATTGATTAAAATGAAAAAGAGTACATTTGTTCAATTAACATTTCATTAATACACTATTTGTGAATGGAAGAGCTGATATTTCCAATTTATTTACTTATCTTTTTCGGTAGATATACTAAATACTACTGAAAGGTATACCATAGTACATAATGTTGTGTATTTGTGGCGCATATATTTTCAAATTTTATTATTTTTATCTATATATTATTTTAATATCATCACCACACTGCTTAAATTATCAAAATTCATTTGTTTTTCCAAATAATAGAAAGAATTGAAACAAAATGCATCACCACTTAATTTTACAATGTATAATTTAATTGTATCTAGACGTCTGTATATTCATTCGAGTAATTTTAAGAATGATTCGATATTTTTGTCGATCTTTGGCAATTTGTCGAAGCTTAACAAAGATTGTTCCAATGAAATGGCCATCTCTTTGACTGCTTTTTTGAAGTCCTTATGTGTGTCACTATACTTTTTGATAAATTTCACGGAATCGTTCAAGTGGAAGAGCTTCGCGCGCGTACATTTTCCTCTATTAATAAGAAAAAAATATAAATTGTTATTAGAATAATATAATCGATAAATCTCACATTCATTGAGATACACATATACTCACATTTGAATTGAGTTGAAAAATTTCACCCAGACAAACTTTTCGTCTAAATCTGTAATGATAGCTGGCCATTCGACGTATCCTTTTACCTTGGCAAATACTGGATCACCGATTTGGAAGTTTTCTTTGATTTTTTTTTTGAAGAGAATAAGTGGTTTTTCGACGTTTTCGTGACGTTGATTGGCTATCTTCCATTGCACCTGACATATCAAATAAAATTTATATACAATTGTACAATACGTATTATATTATAATATATGTCGCAAATACATACATGTATCTGAATAGGCTCTTTTCACTGATATTGAAACTGCTAAAATATTGTCTTCTTCTAAAAAATGTGTTGTTATTATATAAAATAGCAAAAAAATACTCTGTTTAATCATATAAATAATGATACAAACCTATGGCATCGTCCGCACGTTCCATCGTTGATGATGAGCCTAGATTTTGATCATTATTTAATCGTGTACGACGTTGTAGCGTGTTCACTTTAACTTTCTCATCTGAAAAAGACACCGGTAAGCCAATATGAAACGGAAAGTAGTTGTAAACGTGACATAGCCCCAAATAGTTTTTTCTGTGCACTTCATACACATTTAAGTACCTGATTTTTTTTCATCGTGTGCGTTATTTTTTTGTTCTGCTGATCCCTTCAACAGAAGACCGACTTTTCCATCGTAACCATTTGGTGATTCATTCTCGTCCTTTGAATGAATTATGCCACCGCTTTTATACAATTTCATCGATTTACCTGGAAATATTCACAATGACAAAACATGAGAAGAATGTGCAAAAAAGTACGCTCTTCAACCATACAAACCTTTGGAGTCATCTGCACCGATAGAAAGTGGTTCGGAACGAATCCTACGACGAGAGTATCTTACTCTCCCAATTGTAAAATGTTCCATCGTTGATGATGAGCCTAGATTTTGATCTTTATTTAATCGTGTACGACGCTGTAGCGTGTTCACTTTGACTTTCTCATCTGGAAAAAACACCGGTAAGCCAATATGAAACGGAAAGTAGTTGTAAACGTGATATAACCCCAAATAGTTTTTTCTGTGCGCTTCATAAACATTTACGTACCTGATTTTTTTTCATCGTGTGCGTTATTTTTTTGTTCTGCTGATCCCTTCAACAGAAGACCGACTTTTCCATCGTAACCATTTGGTGATTCATTCTCGTCCTTTGAATGAATTGTGCCACCGCTTTTATTCAATTTCATCGATTTACCTGGAAATATTCACAATGACAAAACATGAGAAGAATGTGCAAAAAAGTACGCTCTTCAACCATACAAACCTTTGGAGTCATCTGCACTGATAGATAGTGGTTCGGAACGAATCCTACGGCGAAAGTATCTTGCTCTTCCAATTGTAGAATTTTCCATCACGCGGTTTCAAATTTTATCCCTCTCTAAAAAGTGTTCGTCTTGATATGTGTTAACTTAAGTAATGCAAATATACTACTAGTAGTAGCTATGCCGATGTCGAACCGTATTAAAGCCAAACGTTTAAAGTCAATTTTGACAAACTGAAGTTGGTTCTGTTCAACATTTGACACTTACTGTCAAAATGTTTATCGCTTTTTGCATAACCCGTTTCTACATTAAAAAAAGTGCGGCTCTTCTGCTTATCATATCAACATGGCTGATAAAAATTTAGAAAATTTGGGAAAGAGGAAGAGGACATCAATAATTGACAATAACAATAATGACGATTATTTATTCGATAATGCTGATAAAATCAAGAACAATGAGATATTGAATGAGACATCGTCGTTGCAACAAATAAGTATACAAACAGAATCGGATATTTTGGAAAAATTAACAGCAGGAGAAATGATTATTTATAAAAAAAATTGTGATTTGGAGTTGATTTTAAAACGGATGGATAAGCGACTGACAAGTGTTGAAGTCCAAGTAGATGCAAATAATATGGATCAATTAGAAACAGTCGATGAAGCTGAATTATCCAAGCTTGGTTTACCTCTAAAAACTTATGACGACGTAAACAATTTCGATTTCAATCTGTTGCGAGAGGATTTTCACTCTAAAGTGGTATGTAAATATAGTTTTGTTAGACAATACACATTTGGAAGAGCCACATTACCTCATCATTTTCTCTTCGCTTTATTTTATTCAACTCCTTAGTTCAACGTTCTTAAAAAAGTTGGTGGAACCAATGGAAGAGCCAATGGATATAGTGTATTGGTGGTATTGTTTGGTCATTTGTTCGATACGAAGCTTCAAGCCACCATGACATGGACAGGGAAGAGCACAAGCAAGAATGCTGCAAAGAAGATGGCATTGAGAGACAAAAAAAAATCACAAATATCATCGCAAAATTATGTACTGCTGCCGATGCGAAGTACTCTTTCGATAGATGTCAAGTAGATCTAATATATAAAATACTCAAATATACGTATCGGAAATGTAGTTCGAAAGTGAATATTGATCAAATAAGCAATAATGCTCAACCAATTGGTTTAAATGAATTATCTCAACCGACTCCAAGTTATGTGAGTGCACCATCATCAAGTAATGCCGAACACCTTCAAATAATTCCACAGAACTACCAACAACATCCACCACTGCCACAGAACTACCAACAACATCCACCACCGCCACAACATTACTACCCGAACTCACACTACCACCAGAATCAAAATCAACGACCAGACAATTCAACATTAATCGAATCGAATTTACATCAAAAATGATGGCTTTCGGCGAGTTTACCAACATGCTCTATTGTTTTTTTTGCAATATTTTTATATATAACAATCAACAAATCAAGTAAGAAGAAATTATCATTTTCAAAATGAATGGTAAAGAATAATGGCGGAGAGCATAGCATTATATAAACAATTTCTAAATTTAAATATATGCAACAACAAATCCAAAAGAAGAGCTGTGAATTGATGAATAATTTCAAATGAAATTATTTTATGGAAATCTATATAATTTAATTTATACTTGTGAAAATAAAATGATATAAAGTGAATATTAATGTGTTTTGTATTATATGCCTAAAAAGACCGTATTCCATTTTCGTATATTTATTGGAAGAGCACAGGAGCTCTGCCAACACTGGTAAAATGAACTTCCACGAAGAGCCAAGTATTTGCTATAAAATTTATAATGTATAACAAATAATGGTGAGATGAGCATGCATAAAATGAGTTACTTACCTAAATAACAAATTCGAAAATATTTTAAGAAAATTGAAAGCGGAGCTCCGCTTCTAGATATTTTAAGAAAATTGGAGAAACTTATATATATATATATATATATATATTTATGACTCTGCTCGAAATCTCAACAAAAACTTGATTTAAAATTTATTAAATTGCTTTGGCTGTTATCGCAGAACACCGAAGACTTACGCTGAAGCAGTTATTTCATATCAATAAGCCTCTTTATGCAAAAGAAATCCAAAAAATACAAATTCACTTGAGGAATGATTGAGCAAGTGAATAAATGAATATTGTTAGTTAATGTATCGCGCCCAAACTTAGCATAGAAGTGCATGAGTGATGGACCTATTTTGCCATAAAAGGAATGATGGAATTCTTTGAACGGTTCCCATTAAAATACAAAATTCTTATCGGAAATTGATCACAATAGTATTTTATTTTCGACCTTTTTTTATTTTTATGCCTTTTTTTTTTAAATGAGTGAAATGAACGATTTATAAAAATATATGTATAACCAATCGCCCACGCAGCCAATCGCCCACGCAGCATCAGCTGTTATCAAATTTGAAAAGAATGAATTATAATCATATTAACCAAAAGATACTTCTAAATTAACGTACAGACGATTTCAAAGTCATCATGGCACAGAAGCTCTGCCAACACTGGCAAAATGATCTTCACTTTATCGACTGGAAGAGTCAAATATTTTCCATAGCACAGAGTTGACGTTAACCATACAATGGTACGCAAAAGAGACAACTATAAATGAAAATAAAGATTTTGTAAAAAACAACTAAACAAAAAGAAATTTTTTTGCCAGAAATTTACTTGTTGTTCTTTTTGTGAAATTTCAACTAAAACCTCGACGATGTTGTTTTCCAATGCTTCAGATTTGTGCGTGTATGATCCACTGTCTAAAATATTGTTCAATGCCCAAGATGATTGTATCGAGAGGCCAACATGTCTTAATTTCATTAAACTAATGAATTTTGGAATGGCACCAGCTTTCGCAACCGCATTTATTTGTGATTGTGTGCCCGATGTTATCATTTTCAATGCCCATGCTGCCTCGTATTGCAGATCCGAACTAATATGTAAAATTAATAAAAAATTGTCTGATGTGATCTTCCATTCTTGTTTCTCATGAGATTTTTTAGCCTATGCCATAATTTGAAATTTTTGTGTTTGATACACATTGAGAGAAGCCACACATTATTTTTAAATTACAGTAAGAGTGTTACTATAGTAAAATTAGATTTGTCCGCATACATAATTTGAGTCTTCAAAGCAGAGCGTAAAATAAGCTGTTTTTTCGCAAGAATCTGGTACTCAAGAATTTTGAGTTCGGTAGTCAAGAATTTCAAATAAAAATAAAAAACAAGCAAATTAATATTTAACGACAAATCAAATTGAAAATGTGGACTTGATTCTTTAGACACATATACAAAATAGAATGATTTGCTAAAAAAAGTATGGATGTGGGTACTCCATTCGGACCGAAAATTACACCGGTCAACAGATATTGCTGAAAAACTAATCAGCACGTCTCCTCCAATCATCTTGCAAAGTCAGAATTTGAATTGAGTTTTTGGAAGAAGATTTATCGCGTTAACAAAAAAGGTGTCACTAGGTGTGCGGTAAAGTAAAATGTCGAAGACAAGAATTGTGTAATCAGATTTCCGTAGTTTTGTGACTACAAAAAAGTCCGTTTTTTCTTTAAAAATTCATTGACTGTACAATAAGCACTTCGCGAGTGTAGGCCGGCTAGTATTCTTAAAATAATCGGTAGTCAATAGAAATTTTTCATTAGTTAAGGCAAATCCTTATTTATACGCTCTGACTTATATAGTGTTTGGCTCTTCCAAATTAGGAAGAGCCATCTTCGAAATGCACTTTTCCTAATTTGAGCCAAACACTATATAAGTATCTCGAAAATTTGATTGGCTCTTCCAAATAAATAATAAAAGTAATATATATTACTTTTCCGCACACACGAGTTTTCTACGCGTTTCAGGTCTAAAAAATCCCAGAGCAACGATTTTTTGGCCATGTTAATGTGGGGATGTGGAAAACTGCACACTCTATACCGTACACTGTACGCAATTGCAATTCAATCTTGACTGTTTTGTGTATACAAAATGAAAAAAAAAAACGCACACATAAAAATAAAATAAAAAACCAAACAAGCAACCTTACCTTTCGGAGTTCAAAAAATCAACGAAAATTTGTACGATACCGTTAGAAATCATATCATTAATTGGAGGGTCACGTTGCATTAACATTTTGCGTGCAGCTTGTGTGGCATAATGAACCAATACTGACTCACTACCTTGCATATGTGTGATAATTTCTTCCAACGGTGTAGTATTCAGAAAAATTGGCGGTAATGACGGCTCCTCCAACGGTAGTGATAGATCAATGTTGCGACGCTCATCCAATTGATCATCTTTCTTTGATTTCCGCTCTTCATTTTTAACACAATTTTGACGGCTACAAATATGATTAACGTTTCGTGAACTACTCTTGTAGCTCTTCAAACGATTTTCCATTTTGACGGTTGGATTTCTTTTGAGTATCTAAATGCGACGCGGAAAAAAGAAAAGAAAGACAACTATAATGAGATGGGCGAAATGATATAATCTTAACGAGACCAATTCAATCTATTCTTAAACGAAAATCCTTTTACTTTTCCGCACACCTAGTGTAGGAAAGGTATTGTATTAGGCCAAAAAATTAAAGTCACCCCAAAACATTTTTTCTATGCATATTTCATGTAGAAAACACGATTGGAGATGATTTTGGGGCCTATTAATGTGCAGGATGATTTGAGACTACTAGGAGACGTGCTGATTAGTTTTTGAGCAATATCTGTTGACCGGTGTACTTTTTTTTGGTCCAAATGGAGTACCCACATCCATACATTTTTTGACCATTTTTCAACCATTTTGGTGACACGATGGTTTCGTGCTCATGAAATTCAAAATCTGACTTCACGGGATGATTGTGCACTCTGCGAGGAATAGATCTGGTCAAATTTTCAACGACATTGATTGATCGGTTTAAAACTTAGCCTCTGAAGAGGCACTTATGAGAAAAATGCGTTAAAATGATATTTTTTTCAATTTGAACGATGAAAGAATGTGTTGTGGAGGGTTTTTTGGCACGAAAAACCCGAATCTAATGTTAGTTTTAAGATGCAATCAATTTTTAACAGACTTTTCATACAAAAATCCACAAAAAATTTCATTTTTGTATGAAAGACACATGCCTGTGTGGTACCGTAATGATGTGAAACTTTGAACAGGCTATTTTTTATTGAAATTTATTTTGATAAGAAAATAATATTCACAAGTTTTCACAAAAATCAAAAAAATCAAAATATGGACAAACGATTTTTTTCATTTAATAAAACTTACATTTACGACGAAATGAAAAATGCTGACAATGTCTTTGAAAATTTAAAATTATAATGTTAATAAAACATACGTTTCACATAAACTCCTATATAGATAAAATCCGTATACAGTGTTTGACAGTATAGACACTTTTGTATGTGTGCATTGATACTATATCTCAATTTACGCGACTATAATTGGATTCGTTCAGTTTATTAGTGCGCCATCTCGAAGTCATATTACATCCGTTTGATCACAGTAATACGATGGCAGAGCGCTCATGTTGAAAATAAAATTAGTTTGTTAATAAGACCCAAGAAAACATTCGAAATAAATTTTGAAATATCAAAAATATAATTTTTGACTCTTGATTAAAAGTAAGAACCTTTTTTACTTATTTAATTTTCATCTTACTTTTATTATTCCTTTGGAAGAGCCAAAAACTATTTTTCAACTATTTTATGGTTTTATTCATATCAGTTCTGAAATATAAGCTAAATCCTGAGAATCTATGGATCAGCCGAATCCCACCGGATTTGCACTTTACGCCAAAAAACCGTTCGGGTGGTGTACGGGAGTCAACATTTTTCTTATTTTTCACGATTTTTCATTGGAAAGAACAAACGGTTCGTTCGTAGGTGTTCGTGCACTTTCCATGGACAGCTAAATATGGTAAATTGCCGTTTATATGCTCTTCCAAATGTAAACGAGACGCCTTTCAATTCGAGACATATCTTTTGTCATTTGTTTGGAAGAGCCAATCAAAGTTTAGAGATACTTATATAGTTTTTGGTGCAAATGAGGAAAAGTCAATTTGGAAGAGCCATCGAAAATTTGATTGGCTCTTCCAAAATGGCTTTTCCAAATAATTAATAAAAGTAAGATATATTACGAATTTTGAAAAGCTCTTCCAATGAAGCTCTTCCAAATGTAAACGAGACGCCTTTCAATTCGAAATATTTTATATCGATTGAAATAATTGATCAGTTTATCGTTTGCCTATTCTCGTGGACATAAGCATTTTTAATCATTCATGCTGAGAGAAGATCGTTGAGTATATGCGTTCATGTGATTCATGCCGTGCTTTCTTGCTGCCCAACGAATAATTATTTTCTGGGTTCACGATTGTCTTGAGGATCTCTGTTTCAAAAAAATACTATGAATTCAACCCTCGAACGGGTAGTGATTAAAAACCAATTAAATGTAAAGAATTCGTTTATTCAATTTATGAGTGATGAAGAACAGAAATGACATTGATGAGGTATTTCATTGGACTGTTTACATTTTTTCAATTTTACAATTTAATTTCATTTTCTGAATTATTGCAAGTGTAACGATGAACTTTACTTGTACCTTATTCATGGAACAATCTAGATTTTATGATTTAATCTTCAGATATTTAGAATTTATCTAATATAAAGGCTTTGATTCATAGCTTAATATAAAATAATTCAAATATTGTGTCTTAATCTAGACATAACCATGGTTATGATTGATTGCAATCTGTATTTTGAAGTAGATATTGTGTTATATTGGAATGATTGTTTTTTTGTTTATTTTCATAATTTAATTTTGTAGACAAAAATGTGTGTCTGTTCAAAGGCAAAATTGTGTATATAATAATTTATGGAAAGTTAAACATTTTATGTTTTTTAATATATTTTCTTATCGTATATATTTCCATATTATTTAACACATTTTGATTTGGTTAATGTGCGGACAATTGTACTGTAAAAATCACCATAGATATATTATTTTGCCTTTTTGTCCTTAATTCTAAATCTAAAAATTACGTTGATTTTATTTTGATTTGTAAAGTGAAAAGTTTTCTGTTCTGGGTTTTCCAAAAAGATATTGATTTTTGTACGGGTATAATAGTTATACTAATTTGATTTTTTGTCCTTACTTCTAAACATCATGTTGATCTTATTTTGAACTTTTTGATTTGGTTAATTAGCTGAAAACTGTAGTAATAGCTAAATATCACCGTTGTTATATTATTTTGATTCTTTATCCTTATTTCTAAAAATTACGTTGATTTTATTTTGAACATTTTGATTTGGTTATTTAGCTGCAGTGTTCATGGACATTGTAGTGATAGCAAAAACAAGTGAAAAGTTTTGTCTGTTTTGAAAATATCATTCAAACTACTTGCTGTAGACTTTATCCAAAAAGATATCGATTGTTGCATCAGCGTTCGGTCCCACAAAACCTGGTAAACCTTTTTGTCCGTTTTTGTCCGAATGCAAGGCTAGCCGGTGAAACGATGCGACGTTTACCCTTTTCACGCATTCCTTTAACAACATCGTGAAGGCATTTCATCACATTATTATCCTTTCCCAAAACAAAAGTCGCGGTGAATTGTTGTTTTTTTTGTCGCTGTCAGATCTGGCGATGTAAATGACAGTGACAGCGTTTCCGATTTTCGCTTCATTTCCTTCACCTTTGATATCGGAATGAATTGTAATTGTGCCCACATCGAAGTTGCAGAAACTGAATTCAAGACCTTCTTCTTCTTCTTCTTGCTCATCCTTCCCCTCCACCCCCAGATCCTTCTCCTCCTCCTCCTCTTCGTCTTCCTTCTTCTTCTTCTTCTTCGGTTTTGCTGCATCAAAGAGATTCGAATCTTTGGGCAACTTCGTCATTTCGTTGGATTGGTGACGTCGTTTAGTTGATGCCTTTTCAGTGGCTGTATTTGCCTTCGCTTTTAGACGTGTACGCGTTGATAGAATATCAGGTTTGATGTCATCTTCCTCTATGTCAAAAGATGTTGGAGTGGAGCTCACAACATTGGGCTCTTCCGGTAGATCTTTTATAAAAATACAGAAAAATATTAAAACCTTTTTTATATATTGTTTTATTTTGAATAAAAGAAATTACCTTGTTGATTGAGCATTGATTCATCAAAGACTCCGGGGCTGTTGACTTCATGAGTCGAGCCAATCGGCACAACGTAACCTTTTTTTATAGGAAATTTACAGACAATATAAGCCATTGGTTTGTTTTTTATACTAAACAAAATGAAGCTTAAGCGTAATTACCGGACACGGTGATCGTGTTTGTTGTATTGCTAGTCCAAAACGACACCTTTTCACTACTCAGGATCATCAAATCCAGTTGAACCGTCGGTTGGTGCGAAGTTAAAGCACCAATCAGATAATGCTTTCGATTTTGTTCAAGGAACACATGTGCTGGTTTGGGTTGCTGAAACGGTGCAGGTTCTGACATTTCCAACATTGCCAGCTGTGAAAGGTGTACCATAGCTTCTAATTTTGCGCTGTACGCCCGGTTGGGTTCCATGTTCAAACCTATAGGTTGGTTATCATGATTGGTTATTCGTTTTTTATAGATTTCGTTTTATAAACAACAACGATTTTCGTTTGGACAATGATCGTTTACTATCAACAAAATTATCAAACCAAGCCACTCCAAAAATTGTGTATTCCTGTCACATATGTATTAACAAATCAACCAACATTTTATTTTGTCTTTGTCTATTCTATTTGATGTGCTTTTGCAAAAAATTGGCTTTTGAGTCTGTTAAAAATATAGTATACTGTTCACTAGTACACTGTTCTGAGGACAATTTCACATTGCAACTCTTATCAGGATTTGAGTATTTTGAGGATTTCATATTAAAAACGCATTTATTTCTTAGAAAGAAAGAGATCAATGAAACGCTCAGACACTCTCTCAATCCATCTGGCGCGTTCGTAAATAAAAATTTATTCTATTAACAAATCGAACATCACAATCTTTAAATTACGACTTAAATTTTACGATCGAACGGCATTGCTGAACAAGAGATGTAGTGAGTAAACACAGCCGATTTTTGTATTTTCACATCATTCTGTTTCTAGCTAACCGATTAAACTCAATTTGAAACATTTTTGACGAATTACTCAATTGATACGGCAGACAATTTGTATCTATCTAAATTGATATTACACATGAAATTGAATAGAGAATTTTCAATCATGAACAAAAAACGTTCCTAAAATCACAACGAAAATAAGAGAAAAAAAAAGTGGAATTAATACACGTTATCATCGTCATAAACACAGATATTACAAACAACAACCGAAACAAACACACATCAAATTCTCATATCAATTAATATGTAATTGTTTATCGTTTAGTGGCTTCATTTCGTA